TATCGAACATCCTGTAGGATTTACGATTACCATATTTATAGCAAAGTAAGAATAGACCATCTAAAGTAAATACCTAATATAGTTTTGATTTCAGAACAGTTCTTGTATTTTTAATAATTTTTTTAAGAAGGGCTGAAAAATATATATTGTTGATTTATTTTTTTTATCTCTGAAACTATCGAAATATATTTATTTATATCTTAGGTGTATGTAAAGTGATCTGAAAGGAATCCAAAAATGCAATAATATACAGGGTGTTCCATTTAAAAAAAATCATCCAGGTCCACTCACAGTTTTTTGAGCCACCATATAGAAGTTAAAATATTTTCCTGAAATACATCCTGGTACATACTTTAGGTTTGCACTAAAACGAAATTCTCAAGTATTTTATTCTATGAGCTACAGATACCCGACGCACTATTGCCGGACCCTGTACATATAAAAACAAAAAAGACTAATATTTCATTAAAAGAGTCGCTGAAATATTTTTTCCAGCTACACCCCGTAAATTTCACACTGTGCGGCGTGTAGAGATTGACATCGCCAAAATTATCATCGGTTGTCATTCCCCAGCCGTCTTTGATGCCGTTTTTCTTTCGATTATACGGTATTAGCACTTTTACTCTTAAATGTCACCCATTTCTACAAATAAATTAAGTAAAAGTTACTAAAATATTCAGTTTTTCTATTTTTCTAGTTTAGTGTTTTGATAAATATATACGACGTAATTCTGTTGATATTTGAAAGGCCGTCCATAAATTTCGAGTTGGGATCGTGTCAAAAACGGCGGCGCTTTCGGTGCCATGGGAATCAACCGTTTCTCTCTCCGCGATGTCGTGTTCTCTAGCAAGTAGTCCAATTTATTACCTACTGATATGGATAATTTATTGCAGTTTTATGTTGGGACGACCGCATAACCGTACCCCCGGTGTTCGGTTAGGATATTTTAACCTAAAACCTTAATATACAGGAAGTTTTTTAGCATAAATACATTTTATTGGTAGATGATTTCGATAAATCTAACTTATTTCATTAGGGTACGAACATAGTGGAGGCAGGTTTCTGCTTTCCGGCAACCAGCGCCGTCTCTGGGGACCTATTCTTGACCACATATCGCTCACATCTCGCATCTCTGAAAAAGCCATATAACAATAATACACGTGATGCGTAACTTTGCGTATATGCCGTGTATTGTTATATGGCCTTTTCGGAGATGCGAACAGGGTTCGGAAGTAGTTAACTAAGAGGAAATTTACCTGATTAACTAACCTAACCTAACCTAACCATATCCAAACGCCGCTCCCGCCGCGCCGGCGCCGCACATAGGGGTATTTGGTCTATAAACCTGGCCAAAAGTGAAATATTTTTATTTTCATTTTTTATCTTAACTGAATACAAATCTATAAATACTAAACGTAAGCGCGTTTATTAGCTTTTTAAGTCGTAAGTTGACTATCAAATAAATAATATATTTCAGTTAAAAGTATGAATTATCTTGAGTGTATTCTGAATATTTCTAAGATTATAAAAATAGTGGAATTGTTTGTAGTGCTTTTTTTGCAAATTGTTCATAATAACTGTCATGATGGATACAGAGCCAGCTTTGTTTGTTGGCTCTGTTCTGTTTTATGCCATATTTTTATTTTGAAACGTTTCCTTCTATTCTATTTTTTTATAATGTTTTATATTTAAAAAATCAGTGGCATTTTTATAAGGTGTAAGACTATTCGGCAATATTCCGCATGGAAATTAGTATCCGTTCAATGCTTAAAGTCTCCAGCATTGGAATATGCACAAAAATCTTGCCAATATTTGCCACTGCCAAAAAAAACATTGATTTAAATAGATTCTTAAAGGAAATAGTCTTTACCCTATTAACACCCATCCTCGCTCAAATATCGTCTATAATATACAAATTACTTTCTTGTTCTAGCATCCTCATCCAATTGCTTGGTTTTGCACAGAATGGCCCTATTTGATCGGTGGAAAGGGTTTCAGAGTAGAGGAAAAAATATTGTGTAGGAAAAACAAAATGGGGTTCCATATTAGCAACCTCTCCTCTAATTAATAATTAATATTACTAGCAAAAAAGCAAAAAAATCATAAAACATAATTTTGGCCAACTTTTAGTTCTTAATACCCCCTGTGCGCCGTCGGCGCGTGCAAAAGCAGAAATAAATAAATTTTCGTTCCGGTAAAAGCGAGAACGCCGATGAACGCTGGTTGACGGTGCCTGCCTGCTTTCACTGTGAACTAGCCGATTTGATAACACGCTTTAATTTTTCAAGGTTATAAGCGCGAGGCGGCGCGGCGCGGCGCTACGATGTACCCATATACAGGGTGTCCCAGAAATAAGTGCAAGTATTTTAACTTAACTGGTAGTATAGTTCAACCCCAGAAACACGCCAATGAGGTTTTTTTCTAAATAATTTTTTTTTGAAAATTCGGAATTTTTTAAAATTTTTTTTAGTTTTTATTTAAAGATTAAAGTTACAAGAAAGAAAATCCAGAAAAGATCCAGTGGTTCTCAAAATTTTAGCAAAAAATCATTTTTTTTGGAAATTTTCAAATTAAAATAACTCCGTTATTTTGGACTTATTTGAAAAACGATAATGAGAAAATATGTTTCTTTTATCGAGATTAGAGGTGTGTAGTTCGTGAACGAACTAGTTCCAATGAACTATTCCGACCCCGGAATGAAAGGAACTAGTTCCTGGTTTCTCAAAGAACTAGTTCCTCAGAACCTGTTCCGGGATCGAGACTGTGACCGATATAGAATAATATGCGACGGCGACGGATCGACTAGCGCGCGTAGCCCGATGGTAGGCAGGAGTGGGGAGTGCCAGCCTTACGTTATCGGATCCGGACCTAGAGGAACTAAACTAAATAAAAGACTAATTTACGTACGCACGGATCGGGCCAGCGCGATCGATGCTAGGCAGGAGTGGGGAGTGCCAGCCGTATGCCGTATGTTATCGGATCCGGACCTAAAGGAACTAAAGGAACTAAATAAAAGACTAGTTTACGTATGGATCAGCCAGCGCGATTGATACTAGGCAGGCGTGGGGAGTGCTAGCCGTATGTTATCGCATCCGGACATAGAGGAACTATTAAAAGACTAGTTCACGGGAATCTATTCAGTCGGCAGATCCGCGATATAATACAAGGAGACGACGATGGATTCGGCCTTGTCTATTGCCACAGCCGGCGCGGCGTTATTACCACATTTTTTTAAATATTTTATGGGAATGTTTCACTTTAGGTCCCTAAAATTAGGAAATATCTTATAAAATGAAGTAGATATTCTGAATTTTTAGACAAAAACAAAAAGCTTGAAGTGGGGAAAAATACATTTTTTCCTACATTTTTCGTATTATTTCCTCCAATTGATTTGTGATATAGTTTTTAAACTCTCATTTGAGTTTCTTTAATTTTTTTTTCTGCTATAAAACTTACCTATATGTTTTTAACATATGCACTTACACGTGTTCTTATATTTCATACATTATAAAAATTATAATGATCTGTCTAATTTTGAATAGTAAACTGGGGGGTGAATAGTTCTGACTGAAAACGAAATCCATTAGCAAGCAACGGGGATGTCAATGTTAGTCGGGAACTATTGTGAACTAAGGACCTAGTTCAAGGAACTATTTTTCTGAAGGAACTAGAACTAAGGAACTAGTTCCTCGCAAGGAACTAGAATTCCCACCTCTAATCGAGATCTACCACCCCTTAAAATACTTGCACTTATTTCTGGGATACCCTGTTTATAACAATACACGTGATGCGAACGATACAAAGTTGCGAACGATGTCAAGAATAGGTGCCCAGATTGGCGCTGACTACCAGTAAGCGGCAAACCTGCTTGCACTGTGTTCGCACACTTAGTTATATGTACTAGCGATGTGTCGGTATTTGAGTAACGCGATTTTGGAGCGGTATTTTTGTAACGTCGAGTCGCGCTCCACAACAAATCAGGTACCTGTTGCTGAAGAACGACGATCATAATAACGACAAAACTATAAATTATTTATAATTTGCAAATGAATTATTTATAATCGCTCTTGGAGTTAGCTCGAACCGCATAGCGCCGTGTTTTGCTGCAGCCGTTGGCGTCGAGCTCTTAGGGTCGCGAACAGTAGCTTAGGTAGCGCGACGCTACGTACTTGCCAGTTCCTAACTGGAACTGGCAAGTACGTAGCATCGCGCCATCGCGACCGCTTCGTCTGTCGCGAAGAGATATAACTGGTAACGACCTAAAATCGCGACGTGTACTTCACTCCAGTGCCAGTGGTCGCGCAACTGCTGGAGGGCTCGTAGGGTCGAGTTTTCGTCGGTTGCGAACAGTAGTAACTGGACCTGGTAAGTACCTACCGTCGCGCTTTGATCGGTCGCTATTGCTTTCGAGATCGCGATTTTCGGTAGGTACAAGTACTAGGCATTTTTGATTGATAATAAATACATGTTACATGTACATGTTACGTGTGCATTAGATAGTTTCAAGTTAACACTTTTACAAAAATAATTTATTGATTTTTATTAAGGAAATATGTAAAGCTGCTTTCTTGAAATCAAATCAAGTTTCAATAACCCATTTTTTGTGTTTTGGGATCAGTTTCATCGCTTCCTGATTCTTTACCGTACTGATGTAGCCTGAAGGCAGTAATACCAGTGTAGGTGTGTTTATGTGAGTGAGTATGTGTGTCGGCACTAGTGTACACTGATGTATACGGTTGCGAGTTGTTGAGGGCTAGGCCGTTTAATCTTTTTCTTCATCTTTATTTCTATAGCAAAAATATGACTTGACGCTTACACCGTACCATAATACAGAAATACTCTACTATATCGAAAAAGTATTTAAGAAAAATACTAAAAACTAATAGATGAAAAACTGTTATATTTAAGTTTTCCTGTACGGTCTAAGACACCCCGTAGTTGCACAAATTAAAAATAAATCATCAGTCTTTATTATTATAAGTTTTGTTCTTTCCTTTTAGTTATTCCGACTTGTCGACCGGGTCAACCCAAGGTTTTCGGCGTTGCTAGACACGAACCTGCCAAAATAACATGCGAACTTGAAGCTAATCCAACCGATGTGGAATTTATTTGGAAATTCAACAATTCGGCAGATACTTTTGATATACCCCAAAGTCAAGTAAGTAATTACGTGCTAAAATACAAATTTAAATGAGACATTTTGTGCATTCGATGGGCAAATGTATTTATAGTTTTCAAGTTTTCAGACGTTTCAAAGACGTAACAGAAATAAGAGTTAGTAGTTAACCGACCAACATAATTTTTTTAAACAATTTGTAACATTGATGATTTATAAAATAAATTATGTTACATTAGTTAGTAAAATACAAGCATATGTTACAGTGAAAGTTGGAAATCCAGTAAATGTCCAGTCAAAATCCAGTAAAAAATAAAAACAATTCCGTACTGGATCAGTAAATGTGTAAAAAATTGTTTATTTTTTCTAGTAATTGTGAACAGTCGAGTAAGATAGTAACATTTACTAAATTGTCGTTCATTTACTAAAAAACCGTTCTATTATACATGGTGGAAGTTGGATCATATTGTATCACCTCCATATTTAAGCTGATTCAATCATCTTAAAATTACAAGAAAGCGATAACAAAACGGTAACAAAAAATTAAAATATTTGCCATTATACTTAACCCCAAAAAACATTCAGCATCTAAACGCTAGAGAATACTAACACTCAATCGACAGGAAGTAACACTAATGAGTTTTGATTGCTTTTGTATCTACATTTTTTTGGTAACTCTTTTTTGGAATTTTTTTCCTCTAAATGTATTGATTCTAAAATTAAATGTTTTACGTAAAATTTTCAATATCTGCTGTTACAAATTTTTGTTTCGAAAATAATTTAACTTTTATTGGCGTAGTGTTAGATAGCCAGTAATTTATTTATTACATTATAAACCTGAAAAAACGAAATAGTAAAATAAATTATTCTATTAACTACAGTATTTGTTTAATAATACTGTAATCTTAGCTTTAGTTAGGTGTATTTTTATTTTATGTTACTACCGTATATTAACTTTTGAGAATAAACTATGCATTTCTAAGGTATATTCATAGCTTTCCATTTTGGCAATGAATTTTTGTAGTAGGTCTAGTTATTTTTTCTCTACAACAGTTTTTATTGAAAAATGCATACATTTTTTTGGAATTTTCTCCGTTTGCTTTTTGTTCTAAAATAACAAGGATTTGGATTTCAAAACTTTTGTTTTTAACTTGTTCATTAAAATAATGTTAACATACATCTATTTTAGATATATGTAGAAAAAGCCAGGAGCATAGCAATGTTTAAACCGGTTACAGAACAAGATTACGGAACACTACTCTGTTATGGCAGAAATGAAATAGGCATGCAAAAGGAACCATGCGTATTTTATGTGACACCAGCAGGTAACTATTATTTATTGTACTTTCAATCACTTGTACTTATTTAAACACGGAAGTCAGAGGGCCCTAATTCTGTAACTTAGAAAATACAAAACGCTTTTAGACGCTCAGCGTATCTAACGTTAATTTCCGCATAGCGCCCATTTAACTAACGATTTGGGTATTCTTATTTGACACAATCACTAAGCGATTCGAAAACGGTTACCCGAAAAGATCGTTTTGCTTTTCGCTTGTCGAACTGTCAGTAAAAATCGAAAAAATTGTGATTTTGTGCGTTATCTTGCTCTTTAGTGAAAATTACATCTTCTTCTATAAATTCCTCATACCGCAGTAAAAATAAACAAAAAAGGAGGTTAAATAACAATAATTCCCATAGAGCTGAAAATTGATACAGGTCTTAAATACACTATTATAAATGATATCTGAAAAATCCCCCCCTCCATACTTGCTTTAATATATATATCCCCTATATATAGCGGGGGTCCTACCGCCTCTGCCGCATCCCGCATTTCGATCGCCATTTTTCTCTGTTTTTCCATTCGTCATCTCTAATGGCCCTATCCCTCATTGTTTTTCTAATTCCTTCTTCCCATGATATCACTGGTTTTCCTCTTCTCCTTCGATTTCTAGGGGCATATTCTATAGCTCTTTTTGGCCATCGCTCTTCCCCAGCTCTCATCACATGTCCATAACAGACAAGTTGTCTTGTTTCTATGTTGTCTATAGTTGTGAATACCTTTCCTGTCTTTCTTCTTATATCTTCATTTCGAATATGTTCTGTTCTTGATATCTGACACGCTCTTCTCAAGAAATCCATTTCTACCACATCCACTCTTTTTCTGTTTTTTTCAGTCAATTGCCAACCTTCTGACCCGTACGATAAAATAGGCTCTACTATCGATTTGTAGATTGTCATTTTAGTTTTTAATTTTATTTTATTCGACCAAAGTACCGAATTTAGAATTCGGATACATTTCTGCCCTTGTTGTGTTCTATGTTGTTGTTGTCAGTTTGATGTTCCTTCTTGAGATATTATAGTTCCTAAATATTTGTATTCTTCGCATTGTTTTATATTGCTGAGTTCTAAGCTCCGGTCTACTTGTCCATCGTCTGCCATTTTTAGATGTTCTGTTTTTGTCATGTTTATTTTCAATCCCCATTCTGCGTACTCCTCTTTCAATTTTCTGAGCATATAGTCAATATCTTCCTCATCATTAGCAACTATAACCTGATCATCGGCGAACAACAAGGTTGTCAAGCAATGATTACCAATCTGTATCCCCATTCCTGAGCATTTACGTTTCCATACATCCAGAGCTTCCTTGACATAAATTTTAAACAAAGTAGGCGACAAGCAACAACCGTGTTTAAGTCCTTTCGAGATATTGAAGGGTGCTGATATATTTTTGCCAATTTTTACGGCGCTTGTTGCGTTTTTATAAATGTTATGGATGGATTATAAATGTTATGAAAAGTTTTGTTAAGGGTACCGTATCATATGCTTTTTGAATGTCGATAAAAATCAGATGGGTGGATAAATTTCGAGCTATTCTCTTTTAAATAACTTGTTGTAAGGTGAAAATATTTTCTAAGCACGATCTTCCTGCGCGAAAACCCCTTTGCTCCTCTAGTTCTGTTGCAATTCCATTTCAATTCTCATTTTCAGAATTCTACCATACAACCTCCCAATTGCACTGGTGACACTGATACCTCTGTAATTTTCACACACCTTCCTATCTCCTTTCTTATGTATGGAACTAATATATGATATGTTCCAGTCTGTAGGAATATTATCTCCTCGTATGAGACATTTGTTAAAAAGCATATATTGGTCCGTGTCTTACCAGTTCAATGGGAATGTTTCCTGGTTCTGAGGCCTTGCCACTTTTCATATTCCTAAGAGCTTTTTCTATTTCATTTATATTTATGTTTTCTGTATCCACCTGTGTGATTTTAATTTCTTCTGTTGGTTCTATGAAGTGTTCTCAATCTTCTGTGAGTAAGATCTTATAATATTCTTGCCATTTTTTCATATTTATCATATCTATATGAGCAGATTGCTTATTTTCTCGTCGAATATTTTTAATTGCTTTTCACGCCTCTGATACTTTTGTTCCGCCCATATAAATTTCGATGTATTCGCATTTCCTGTCCCAACTTTCATTTTTCTTTTCGCGTACAATTCTTTTAACTTCTCTATTACAACGTTTGTATGCTATCTGATCCTCAGGGTTTTCTGTAAGTAGCCACTTCTGATAAGCTTTCTTTTTTTCTTTGTAAGCTCTTCCAATTCCTCAGACCACCATTCCGGATTTTGTGTACATCGATATTCTTGATACCCTAAAGCTTCTTCGGCTGCTTGATGTATAGAGTCTTTAATGGTTTTATATAACTCTTCGGTATTAATTTGTTCCATTTGTATATTTTGTAATTTTGAAGCCAGTCTAAGTTTATAAAGAAATTGTACTGATTCATGTCTGAGACTATCCAAGTTTTAATTAACCGAATCTACCTTTCCTTGGTTGCCCGTGTGCTCTTCTCTCTCCTTGTGTGAGCTCCTGTAATTAATTACCACTTTGGCCATCAACAGATAATAGTCAGAACCGCACTCTATGCCACGATATACCCTAACGTAATTGGTTTTTTAAAATTGAATTAAAAAGTCAATTATAGAGCTTGTTTGTGAGCCTTCTTGTTCTTTGGACCCATGTAAACTTGTGTACCTCTTTATGTGGGAAGAATCCGTTCATGATCTTTAATGTTAAACTTTCACACATGTTGATAATTCGGTGATCATTATCATTAACTGGTTGTTCCCCATGTTGTCCTACGACTAGATCATTTTGCTTTTGACCCACTCTGCCGTTAAGGTCACCCAGTATACAAATTTCCTTCTTGTCGTTTATATTAAGTATTGTATTTAGTAGCTTATCATAGAATTCGTCTTTAATATTATGATCAGCATCTTTGCTAGGTGCATATGCTCCTATTATTACTATGTTGTGTCCGTTTTTCTCAATTTCTAGTGTTATTATTTGTTCATCTATTTCTTCCCACGTTCTTATGTTATTTTTGTATTTTTTGTGTATAGCTATTGATACTCCCCGTTTTGCTCGTTTGCTTTTGCACACTCCGCTGTAGAAATGGATATATTCCCCTATTTTTTTGCTTTAATAACTTAATAACTTGCTTTAATAACAGTTACTTAATTTTTTACAATTCCATATTAACTTCCTAAGTAACCGCGAAACATCCTATTTTACTAAGGCTTCTTACATACTCCGTTTATATGTCTGACCTATAAGTGTATAGCATGTAAATATTTTGTATGTATCAAAGTTTTTTTTCTCATGAATTACGACCAAATAAAATAAAAAATTTTCTTAATTTAAGTAGGAACAATCTTCGGATTATTATGGGGGTTTTAACAGGACGCTATCTTCTCAATGAACACCTCAATAGATTGAAGCTAAGAAACAATGGCGAATGCAGATTCTGTAGGGAAACACAAAATTAATGATTGAATAACTTGATAGTTCACAAAAGTTAATGAGAAATTTCTGAATATTAAAACTCATACCTTTATATATTCTTTTCCATTATTTAAGAGTCACTTAGCCATATGCACTAAACATAATTGAGGTTGTGCTGCGTCTTTGCCTAAATCATTATCTGGTCCACGTAAGATATTAAAAAAGTTTCTACTAAAGTATAAACCCCAGGTTATGTTGAAAATACTTTTTTTGCATTATCATTATTTAAATTTTTGTTGTTATTTTTTTTTTCTTCTGCTTTCTATTTTTTTTTTCTATTTTGTGCCACAGAATCCTGACTTAATAATACTGGCAATATGTATGGGTTTTCACCATCATGAGAAAGAAATCTAGAGTTAAGGGAGGCTTTTGTTCAGCAGTGGACGGAATAAGCTAAATGATGATGATTTTATTATTAGCGTAAATGTATATATATTATTTTTCTAAGGTAAACCAGATGCCTTGTCCAACTGTTCCATCTCCAACCAAACTACCGACTCACTGTTTCTGGAATGCTCCGAAGGTTATGATGGCGGCTTGCAGCAAGAATTTATCATGGAGGTCTACGACACAATGAACAGGAAACTAGTGAGCAACGTAACCTCAAAAGCTCCCGTATTTACCGTCACAGGTTTGGAAAGTAGTGCAGCATTTGACATAGGACTATATGCTGCTAATAAGAAAGGAAGAAGTTCAGTCACACATTTATCAGCGTTTACGCTCAAAGGCGCTGAAAAACACATAGGTAATTATCCGTTTTATTTTTGTATTATTTTTTATTTGTTGGGTGGTAACTAAAGATGAGCAAAAAATCGCAAACTGCGATTTAATCGCAGCGATTTTAAAATCGCCATCGCAACCTGCGATTCGCTCTCATAGGAAACTGCGATTGCAATTTCTTCTATTTGCGAGTTTCATTTTAGGCAACCAGCCTATAGCTGCGATTTGCGATTTTGTTGCGAATGTAATTTTGTGGTCTATTAAAGCATTTTATTGTAAACTGCGATTGAATTGTCTCTGATATTATTTATTTATAGAGGTATTGTTTTCTAGGGCCTCGATCATAATATACCGGGTGCGTCTCAAAAGTGGCTCACCCCCTATATTTTTTTTATTTTTTCAGAAAAAAAAACGAGATTTGGTATGTTAGTATATGACATAAATTAGGATTGATTGATGTATTCAATTGTTTTCGGTCACTTCCTGTTTCACCGGAAATAACTACAACTTTTGATTTTTAAATGGCACCCACGGTATTTTTTTGCTTTATTCGATAGAAAATGACATTCTGAATAGAATGTCATATGATATGTCAACTTTTGACATTTTTGCTTAATAAAAAATTGTATTTTAAAATTCAATCTAGAGTGCCATGGCTATGTTAAAAACACTCATTCTTCATCAAGGAGCCTTGGAAAAATAGATTTGATCGTCTAATGTTTTTAGTGTCTTGTCCTGGCCAGTGAGAAAATGCTGAAATAGTATTTTTAATCATATTTCAAATTTTCCAAATGGAACGAGGGTGCTTACAAATAATTTAATACCACACACTTGGTATTTCAAGTCAAATTTTTGTTTTGAACCGCATGTTATAATTTCAAATAAACCATATGCGAAAATGTCAAAAGTTGACATATGATATGTCATTCTATTCAGACTGACATTCTCTATCGAATAAAGTAAAAAAACACCGGGGTGCCATTTAAAAATCAAAAGTTGTAGTCATTTCCGGTGAAACCGGAAGCGACCAAGAACAATTGAATACGTCCAATCAATCCTAATTTATGTCATCTACTAACATACCAAATCTCGTTTTTTTAACTAAAAAAATAAAAAAGTTATAGGGGTGAGCCACTTTTGAGGCGCACCCGGTCTATCGGGTGTTTCTCAAGATTGATTCACCTTAAAACTTAAAATTGACGTATTCAACTGTTTTTCCTTCCAATTTTTCACTTCCGGTTTCACCGGAAATGACTACAACTTTTGATTTTTAAATGACACCCTCGGTATTTTTTTACTTTATTCGATAGAAAATGACACTCTAAATACATTGGCAGACCATATGGCAACTTTTGACATTTACGCTTAAAAAATCGTATTCTAAATTTCAATCTAGAATGTTATGGCTGTGTTAAAAACACTAATTTTAATCAATATGCCTTGGAAAAATAGTTTTTCGCGTCTTGTCCTGGCCTGGTTAAAAGATGCTCAAATCGTATTTTAATCATATCTCAATTTTTTCAAATGGAACGAGAATCGCTCATTGGAAAATTTAGAAAAAGCATTTTTTTACGAATAATTTGGTTTGGTAAATATTAAAATCGCAATCGCAGGTTACAGTCGCTGCGATTTAAAAATCGCAATGGGAGTTTCAATTGCGATTGAAGAATCGCAGTTTTGCCCATCTCTAGTATTAATGGGTCTTTAAAAGACATATTAAAGGTCTTTGTAGAAATAGTTTAAACACAATTTTTATTGTTTTTTTTTGTGAGACTTCTATTATCAACATATGCCATATTAGTATTAAAAAAACAGGCATTTAGATATTTCAAGTTTAATGAAAGTAATAATTTTATCTCTACACATACAGGGTGTTTCAAAAAACATGTGCCATCTCCCTTGAGCAGATTCCACACGTAAAAATAAGATATATTTTTCATATCATCATAGGTCTGATTCTGCTTTGTTTCGCAGCTACAGGGTGTTAAAGTCTTAATATTTTTTCGATTTATAGTTTTCTTCCAAGTACCGTATGATCGTGAAAAAACGGCGTCAGCGATGGCTATGTAATGAAGATCGCTGTCATTTTATATGTAAATCTTTGAATAAGAAGACTAAGGAAGGAGCATATCAAAATCTTAGGTCCACCGCGATGGGCCTCAAATATGGCCGACTTAAATTCTGGTTTATCAGTGCCGTTCTAATTTTATTTAAAAAATGTAAAACTATGATATAGGGTAGACGTGGTGTAGACTCAATAATTTTTTTTTACTTTACGTTGTGAATAAATGTTGGTAGTTATTAAAATTGTTATAAAAATATAAAATTCTAATAAAAATAGATAAGTTATAATAATTATTTATTAACACAAATATCCGATACGCTCCTGAACCAGAAATCTTTGACAAGTAGTAAATAAAAGCAAAAATGCAAGAAAAAATATATATAGTTAATTTAAGTGAATTTCATAAATGATTGGTTTACTACACGTATGTATATTATACAGGGTGGCCCTTCGAAAACGTTCCGCATAACGGCCAGGGTAATTTTTTTTTTTCAGAAAATCCAAAAACACGTAAATTTTGTTTGTGAGGGGGACAACTTTTGCCCCAAAAATTATTGCAAAATCTTCAACCCTCTAAGCGGGGGTGTCATCCCCCAACTTTTTTTAAATGGGAAGGGGTGTCAAGTGGCACCGCAATGAAAAGAGCTTTCTATTCTCTATATTTCCCCACTTCGTTTTTGAAAATCGGTCGAGTCATTGAGAAAATATGAAGGATTGAAATTTGAAATGTTTATTTAAACATTTATCAGACTAAATGATAGGGATAAATTCCTTCGACCAATTTGCTGTTTTTTCTTATTATTTCTAGATGTTTACGCATTTTTTCACTTGCCACAAGGTTGAACGATCAGATGCGGTTTGGTTTGGTTTGGTTATGCCTTGCGGAACGTTTTCGATGGGCCACTCTGTATAGTCACTTACTAGCGAAAAGTTGTTTACCATTATTTCACTCGATTTTTGCCGAGATCTACGGCACGCTACACAACCAACTCTGTTAGAGTCTTTTTCGATAAATCGCGATAGTGTCACTGTTAATTTAAGTTCTGCCACAATTTCCATCTAGATTTACTACCTTTATACAACCATGCATGAATACATGGATTGCATTATGCTCCTTAGTCTTCTTATTCAAAGATGTAAATTTATATGGGAAATGTCATCGATGTTCATTTCCCAGCCAACTGGACGCCGTTTTTTTTTCGATCATACGGTACTTTTATTGTTTCGAATGAAATTTTGAGGGTAAAAGTTACTATATAAATGCTACATATTTTAAAGCTAAAAAAGTATCAACATATTCACCAGGGACGCGCATATGGGTTATCACTGGAATATTTTTTCTAAAAAAGTAAGTACGTCACTGACTTTTTTTCTCTTCTTAGCGAAATAGTGTAATCAGGTTAATGCCGATTAAAAGTTGTCTCTTGATATTTTGTCGATTTCGGCATCGTTGATGAGGAAACGCAATTTTATTAATTTGCCTTTGATCCAAGTTTAATAGGAACCTTTAAAAAAAATTAATATCATTAGTTAGCGAAAATTTATAATAAGTACTCACTGATTCTTCATAAAAAAATATGAAAAAAAGTTCCTATAATATAAACATGGGTATGGAAATGCATAGTTTTAGAGTTACAGGATGTTAAAAATTTTAAAATTAGGTTTTTTGTAATTATCTTAAATACAATTATTTTTTATTTGAAATTGCTGTAGGTTGGACTAATAGTAATAATATTTAGTAATAAATTACGTAAAACATATAATTTATTAATTTTATTAATTGTGATTAATACAGTTGCGTTTATCTCATCAAGGAGGCCGAATTCGACAAAATATTAAGAGCTAACTTTTAATTGACATTAAACGGCCTACACAATTTTGATATCAAAAGAAAAAAAGTCATGGCGCACATGTTTTTTCAAATATTCCAGTGATAACCCATATGCAAGTCCCTGATGTATTTATCGACCCTTTTTTAGCAGTAAAATATGTAGCACTTGTAATAACGTTTACCCTCAAAATTTCATTCGAATCACTAAAAGTACTTGGAAGAAAGTTATAATAAATCGAAATATGATTAAAACTTTAACACTCTGTAGCTGCGAAACAAAGCAGAATCGGATCTATGCTGATATTAAAATTAGATCTTATTTTTGCGTGGGGAATCTCCCCACGAGAGATGGCACATGTTTTTTGAAACACTCTGTATAATTACTATTATCTACAGAATTGGCGGAATAAAAAAAAATATTATTTTTTTGTTATTATACAGGGTGTCTCAGAAATAAGTGCAAGTATTTTAACTGGTAGTATATTTCGGCCTCAGAAACACGCCTATGAGGTATTTTTTGCAAATTACCATTAATTATTAGTTTTAAGTTCTAAAACATAGTTTCTTTTTAATATGGCAACATAGATAGTAAGGGCATTCCATAGGAATGGGACAATTAGGTTAACTGGACTGTAGTACAAAAATAATATTGAAATCCGAACTATCTGGTATAGTTTAGAACAAATAATAGGACGTTTTATTTGGGACCACATTTGTTAAAACGAAAAGAAAAGATATTACCCATTTTTTTCACCATTTTTTGGCAAGAATCTCAACTCCGAAGCTGCCACCAGCCACGTTTTTACCGCAATAATTATATGTTATGATTAAATTTTAAATTGTATATAATTGTCAATAAGAGTAATAAAAAATAAATACTTTCTTATATATTTACATTCACAAAATAGTTTAAAACAAGCTACTATACATATAGAAAAGTTAGCTAGAAATTTGCCACCGAGCTTTGTGGTCAACACCGAGGCACTTCAAAAAAGCCGTTAAAGACATCAAATGCAGCAAACCCCACTTTTTTACACCTGTAAGAAAGAAGCGATTCAATCAGTTGATATAGAGTTGCTGATGGAAGAGCACGTTTCTTAGTCCCAAAATATTTTGTGTAACGTTCTGT